TGGAGAAATATAGGGAAAAGTCTAGAGATCTTCACATGGCGTTCATTGACCTTGAGAAGGCTTATGATAGTGTTCCCCGCGATACGATCTGGAAGACTTTGGAAACTAGACGGATCCCAACTGCTTATATCCGGGCGATTCGTGATATGTACTGTAGATCTACTACTTACGTCAGGACTACAGTTGGCGACACCGAGGCATTCCCGGTGGAAATCGGACTCCACCAGGGGTCGGCTCTTAGCCCTTACATCTTCGCCTTGATTATGGACGACATCTATTGTGCGACACCAGACGGTGTACCATGGTGTATGCTTTTCGCTGACGACATTGTCTTAGTTGCTGAAACAAAATCTGAGTTGAATAGTAGACTGGCTACCTGGAAGACTGCTTTGGAAGAAAAAGGTTTAAGGATCAATATTGAAAAGACAGAGTATGTATGTTCAAACTTCAATGGGAACCAAAATGATGAAGATGTAGAAGTATGCATAGAAAGACACGTTCTCCCCTCAAAGGATTGTTTCAAGTACCTAGGGTCTATGATACATAAAGATGGGGGTGTAGATGATGACGTTACACACCGTATAAAGGCGGGATGGCTAAAGTGGAGGGCCGCTACTGGAGTTCTGTGTGACAAGAAGGTCCCTCTAAAACTTAAGGGAAAATTTTATAGAATGGCAATAAGACCAGCGCTGTTGTATGGATCAGAATGTTGGGCAACCAAGAAGGATCACGTGAGGAGGATTGAGGCCGCAGAAATGAGAATGCTTCGATGGACATGTGGTAGGACTCTGAGGGATATGACGACAAACTCTGCTATTAGGATGTCCTTGGGGGTGGTGTCTGTTTCCGAAAAATTGAGGGAGGGAAGACTACGGTGGTTTGGGCATGTCCTTAGGCGACTACCGTCGGATGCGGTAAGGAGGGTAGAATCGATTACAGTCGACGGTGCCAGAAGGAAAGGACGACCAAGGCGAAAGTGGGAAGACTGCTTGAGATCTGATTTGAGGGATTTAGCCCTTACCGAAGACATGACCTCTGATAGGAAAATATGGAGGCTAAAGACTAGGGTAGTCGAGTAGTGTGGGTCACATCTATAGGGTGTATCATCTCTGTCTTCTTTTAATGTCTTTGTAGTATTTTCCATGACTTATACTTTTAATACGTTTCTGTTATTGGTATTTATGAAGGATTAGAACTGGGCTTGCTAACGTTGACTTCTGTGTATCATTCTCTTCATGTTTCCTCTTTTAAATTAGCCGGATCTTATGTTTCTGTCTATATGCAGAGATTCTTTCGCAGGGATTATTATGCAGGGATAAATTCCAGTTACAGACGCACATATGATTTTAATGACTGCATATGAATACTGATTAGCTATGTATTTATGTATTTATTTATACATGCATTGCATTTTATCTAAATTTTTAATTTTCTGACTGCCGGAGGTCTTCCACGGAAGCTACTCTCAACCTGGCGTTGGGGGTAGCCTACTACCCTACCTCCCCCTTACCCCATACATATGGGAATTGGGTTTTGTTGTTGTTGTTGTAGTTTAAAATATGAATAATTTTATAAAAAGTTTTATAACTAGTATTTCTTTTACAAAATGATGATGATGATAAGAAATATTTTATAATTTAAAAATTTATGAATTTCATATATTTTTGAAAAATTTATTTACTTTTAAAATTAATTGTTTAAAAATATTAAAATAAACTTTTAATTACAATTGAGTGATAAAATGAATTATTATTCATTAATTATTATTTTTTAACAATAATTAATAATATTTATTCATTTTTAATTACAATTGAGGAATTAAAGAAACTTGAAAATAAAAGCATGTATATAGGAAATATAAATTACTACCACAGACCTCTACGAGATGGTAAATGAGCAGTAACGTATGAGTTGTGTGCAACCTATTAAACTTAGCAAATCTTAGTAGAATTTGATTTGAACAACTTATTTTTTAACATTTGTTTTCTTATCTTCATCACTGCATCTTAATCTTTTTGTGTATTTTGATATATTAGTTATAAAACTTTTATAAAATTATTTATATTTTAAATTACTTACACTCAAAATTTTCTTATACTAGATTATATGTATTGTGTAATTTCATGCAAAAATCAAATTTTTTCGAGTTATAAACTAATTTTCAAAAGAGTATTTAAAGATTTTAATATATAAACTTTTTTTCACACAAAAAATAAATAAATAAAGTTGACGTTTTTACAAAAATATTCCCTAACAGAAATTAATTACATATTTGATATTATTTTAAAAATATTTAAGAAATTAACACTTGATATTTTACACGTTTAGCAAGACGCAATGCATGGGTACGTCTTTCAACACGTTATGCCACATCAGCCTAAAACGTAATGCATGGACTGTGTCTTCTTACAAAGGGTGTTAAATCGGGAAATAAAGATGAAAATGTGTCTGACAAAAAAATAAAATGAGAAATGGTGATTTTTGGGAAAATTGCCCTTCTTATCAGCTTTACTTTCACACACTTCCACTCTTGAGCCGAGTCGAGCTTGACTAGATTCGAAAATTTTAAAATTAAAGTCGACTCGACTTAAAAACTTGCGAGCTTAAAATTTTTAAGCTCGATTCGAACCCGAAATCCTAAACTGAAGCTCGTGAGCAACTCAAAAAGACTCGAAATGAAAAAAAAAATCATAAACTTAACTCGATTGAAACTTTAAACTCAAACTTTAACCTGAACCTTAAGTACATAAAAATCTTACTGTATTTTAAAAAAATCAATACATAAATGTTAATATTATTAATAATTTATTTAAAAAAAATAAAATCTTAATATATTATATTTTCGAACTGTTCACGAGATTTTTGAGTCGAATATCAAATACATAGTTTCGATTCATTAAGAGCTCGAATCGATTCCATTCGATCTGAGTATTTATCAAACCTTGATCGAATCAATCTCAAATAACTCGCGATCTGTTTCATCTCCTTTACGGCCCTACTCCTACCTCCTTCAAAATGCCGATCAAAAGAGATCCGTAGCTTCCGCCGCCGTCGATAGGAAAGATCGGCCCTTATACCGTCTTCATCACCCCTCCTTCCACCCCTTCTCCCGCCGAACCCCCTGTTTTCCATTCCCCCTCCAAGGCGCCGGCGCCGCCGTCTTCTCCTCCCCTCCTCCCGTCCAACCTTCTCCGCAGCAGTTCGACAGGTCAATTCTTTCTGCTGAGTCCCATTCCGATGGCTCCTTTCCGGGTTTCTTCAAAAACGCTGCGTTTGAACTCCAAAACGGTATATCTACTTTTTACTCTCTTTTTTTAATTAGAAAGAATTTCTGGGTTTAAATCATGAAAATAATTGATGTTTGTGACAGAAACGAAATGGGTTTGTTTATTGAAGCTTAAGAAACAGCTCAATTATGTTCATATTTGATTCATTTTGTTGAACAATGAAGAGAAGAATCACTGTTTTTTTTTTTTGCAGCTCATTCAAGCTTGGATGATCGTTTAGCTCGTTGGTTCGGTTTAAATCAATCCAAGTACAATGGGCATTGAACGATTATTATGAGAGCGAGGGATTTGTAAGTGTTTGTACATTCTGTATATTCATCTTTTGATGATTTTGATTCATTTTAATTTTTCTCCGGAGATGCATTTTCTCGGGAAAAATTTAAGTTTCAAGTTCCAGATCATAACTTTTAAGCTCCTTTTAAGCTACGTTTGGAGAAATCAAAGTACTGCTGAAGTTACTTGTGAAAGTAGCTTATAAGCAATTGCTTCTTTTGTTTATAAACAATGATGTTGCTTGCATTATAATACTGACATACACTTTACATTCGCATGCTCGGGCTCGTATCGGTATCCGACACAATTATCCGAACTGAAGTAACATAGTTTCGAAGTACTACTTGGATTAGTATATGATTTTACTCGATCAGCTTAATGTCTATAGGTGATTAAGTCTATTGCAGCACATTGCTTCTAGTTATATATAGGAGATGCGCCACGGACGTAACACTGATGCTTTGATGTGAAAAGCTGTTCATGTTATTGTTTTCACCATGTTGAGTTTACTCATTGTTTCCGTCGCAGCTACACGGTGTTGACATCGTTTAACATTTAGAATCGTTTCTATTGCAGGAGAAGGAAGGTGTGAAAGTAAAAGATATATCAAGCAAAATACAGAGTGTGTAGCATACTTCTTGTTACGGTAACGAAAAAATCCGACATCCCTGTCTTTTTCTGTTTCTAACGTTATCTCAAACTTATTTGTAATTTTAATGCATATGTTTAGAATTTTAATTTGTTGGGGGTTCTGCTGTTTCCGCAGAAATTGCACCGAGGATGGTTGATGCAGCCGAAAGACATTCAGGATTCGTGAAGGGAACCTAGTTGAATTCTCGGGATCGGATCGTGTTGTATGTGATTCTCTTCCTTCTGCTAAAGTAGCCAACTGAGCTTGTTTTTGTGCATTAGGGTTGGGATTGTATAATCTCCTTTTACTAAACTCAATCTCCAGGCATTGAGATTGCTGTAAACTGTTGAGGACATACTCTTTTGTGTTGTTATTTTATAAAGTGCATTATTTTGCTGCACAAGTTTCTCATTCATGTATATCAGTATATAAGCATACAAGCATACGGTAATCGCGCCGACAATCTTATTTCATGTTATTCGGACTGAGAACTGGGATCCGAAGGATGACCGGGAATTCGGAATTTGAATGAGGGAGAGAACAGACACATTAACAGATCACACACACCAGAGCGTATCCAGTCCTGTAACAGTCTAGCATGCATTCCTCCAGTGGCGTTTGACCGAAATAGCTGGAACCCGAATTCGCAATATATATAACGTATATATTTATGAAATGGAAACATTGGAACAACTTAAACCCTAAGTGAAAGAGCCAACAAGTGTTAAATGAAATGGTAAGAGAATTTTGGGATTCTTACATATTATCATAACATTCACAAAAGCAGCAAATGGTGAAATGTAAAATACCATTGTGACAGTCTAAATGAAGAACGCTATGGGTCTAAAGAATTATTGTTGAAGTTATCCTTAATCTGGGTTGCACTCGGAAAAGATCCGAATTCATGTCAATGCCAAAGCTTCATGCAAAAGCCTGCTGCTACGACAGACGATCCCTTGCTCGAGATACAATCCGAGAATGTGTCAACAAGCTGCTCCGCAAGAGATGCTGGATCTGTGATGAAGGTATCGACAAAGACCTTCACGATCCTCACCTCCTGCGGGGTTGCTCTCAAGCTGTACCAGGTAAGGAATTTCTGCCTGAAGTTCTTCTCGATATGTCCCTTACATTCTAACCATCTGATCACCTTCACGTAATGCTCGAAATCCGTGTCTGCGAGGCCGTTTTCCATACATTCTTCATCTTGCCTTTCTCCGGTTTTCTTCTTCGAGGTGCTTCCATCTTGAAGACCGTCTCCTTTCCCGGTCACATTCTCGACATCCTTCTTGCTGGATTTTGATCTCCCACTTCTTCCTTGTCCAGTTTTAATTATTTCCATTCTGCAGGGAGTAATGGGCAATCCAGCTTCTGAGCAACCTACAAACGGCAAAAGCTTGGTACCAGTCTCAACCAGGGCATCAGATTCATTATCGGTGCTCGTCTCCTCAGTAATCCGGTCCCCCGATGTGTGCTTTTTCTCAACGTTTAGTGGATCAACATCAAGCATAGGACCAACTATCTCCATCGTGCGTTCCTCACTCAACATCGGACCTGCTTCTGCTGGAATTCTATCTTCACCAAGGACAGTGCAGTTGATAGTTTCTGCCCGGTCATCATTTTGATCGCTGTATGGAGTGATGTTATTAGTTTCATCATCCACCGAAGAAGGATTCGAAAGGCTGCTACAATTGGTTGCTGGGCTTTGACTTCTTTCCACCATCGGGAAGCTTGGGACTTCATTCCCACTACAGCTTGTCGAAAGCGGAACTTCCCATGGGCCGAACTCTCTTGTACCATTAAACAACACAATTTTGACAAGATATTCCGTAGCTGGAGTCAACCCCATGACAACAAACCTTGTGTTCGGAACAAACATGGTGCAAGTTGATTCAACAGGGTAATCCTGGTCACACGCCTTTCGATGCCATAAGCTGTAACCGATAATACAGCTCCGTAAAGGGTCTTCAGAATCCACAATCACAGTAACAGAAGTTGGACTTACTTCTTCAAAGCGTACAGTTGCAGGAGAAATCGAACATGAACTTGCTGAAAAAGGATGAAACAATACATAAATCAATAAAACGAAATCCCATCGAAAATTACTTCGAGAATTTGAAATTAAAGAAAGAAACACATCATTAGTACTTCATTCGAGATTACAGAAACACATTCAACCGTGTTACAAACTAGACATTACCTGGTACTGAATGATTTGGTGAAGAATGTGAGATAGTATTGAAAAGCATTTTGTCCAGAAATTCCACTGCAGAAGAACAGAGTTTCTGAACTTCGGGTCCCGAAGAAAGCCTGTTGACGATACCCCTACCTATCTTCACGGGCACACCAGTTAACGGACCAACCTCAGCTTCAAGCTTCTTAATGGCTTCATCAACAATCTCTGAAAGCTTACGGTAATTTTCAGTGCCATTTAGAAGTTTTTGACCTAAAGAGACACGATAACAAAGAATGTCCACCCTCCTCGTATCTTTTGCAGCCATCATTTGTTTTCTCCAACACCTAAATGAATAAACAAACTCATTCATCAGACTATATCGACATTAATAGTAAACACTCAAGTATATATACACTAGTAGTCGATAATACTTATATACATAGTGCCTTTTTATGGCTGAGATAGAGAGAACATGTAGGAGTATTTACCTGAGCAAATCATTTACTTTCCCACATGCTACACAATAATAGCTCCCATCAAGAACAGCATGCCGTTTATTTTTTCCAATGCCAGACTTTTTGTGTTTTAATGAGCACTCGAGATGACATGACATGCCACAAGAATTTCCTGGGAAAGGAGCTTCCGAGCTGCAAATTAACCATAGACTAGGGTCCTTGTTGTCATCGAACTTGTAACAGATGCAGCAGGAACACCTTTTGCAAAATGCATCATCTTGTCTCAAGGTAGCTTTGCAAGCCAAGTTTTTGCAATAAACAGCATTGATCATGTCATTTCCACCATTACCAATGCCGGGATTATTCACAGGAATGGGCAGTCGGGAAGGATAATCAGCTTTCCTCTGCCTTTTGGCTGTTCTCTGACCACCTGTTGGGTACGAATGCGATTTGGGATCCGTTACACCTTGAAACCCTGAATTCTTTTCAGCTACAATTTTCAAAAGGTTTTCGATAATTTTCAGCTTAGTCAAACCAGTATATTTCCTTTCCTTCCCCATCTCAGCACATAGGACCAGTAAAATCTCCTGACGGCTCCACGATTGTAGCATTTCAGAGGCTCTACCTGTCCTCTTCGATAACTCATATATGAGCTCTCTCTTTTCATCCATGCTCAATTTACTACATTTTGACGGATCGAGTGCAACTCCTAAGGCCAAAGGAAACATAAAATTGCAAGTTACCCATTGGAAGCATGAGGAAGTCCAAGAGGAATAATAGATCTTAATACTAATATCAACTTGACAAAATGTCGGGAACATTAAACAAGAAAATCGTCTATTCATACAAGTAAAAAGGAAAACGACATTAATATGCGAGGAAACGGTTAAAACCCATCATAAAACCGAAAATCAACAATATCCTTGAGGTATATCTTTCTCCAACTGGGAAATAACAATGTCACTGTTCATCCCATGCACTTGACATGGAACAATGAGAAACCAAAAAGATTACCTAATTGCAAACAATTAGAAAGAAAGAGAATAGAACTCCTAACTTTTCACGTTACGAAATCACTATTACCAACCAATTAAGAAAGTCACTCGAGACTGTCTAATGGACTTTATTAATCGAATTAAAATGGGAAAACTCATAATTGACTTGCATTAACTAAGGACGTTCCAAACAACACCAAACTCCATGATGTTCGCATCACAATTGGACATAAGAACAAATCATAACCAGTACAACTAAGGGATGAACACAATGCCATTGGACGCTTTAAAAACTACGATCGCTCATATTTATACACACATACACGGGGAAGGGTATGGGTTCAAAGACTCTCCGAGGATCGTTCAAATGCACGGGAAAATTAACAAAAATAATCGAAGATAATCAGTGCCAGTCACATAGTCCTACCCTACACAGACAGACCCGGAGTCTGAGTGACACATAATACATCTATATAATGCATTAATAACATGTAAAGAAAAGGCACAACTTGCATCATCATCCACAATGAAAGCAAAAAAAAAAAGTCAGATTCATGCACCAGTTCACCGGTGAATTTGCAAGAAATATATAAATTAGAATGATGAAGAAAGATCAAAAGACAAGATGATCCCAGATATCCACCCAGATAAATTAGAGTGAAAATCTTTTCTGGTGCGCAGACTTTTATGTCTGGCTAATTTATAAAATTTTAGTGAGAAATTATATAACAAATAAGTAACTTAGAGTATATCATATTTTTCATTTAAGTACTTAAAGTATTTTTTAGTCAAAATAAGTACCTAAAGTTATCTTTATGGTTAGAATAAGTCCCTCAAGTATTTTTTTGATTAAAATAAGTACTAAAGCATTCGTTTTTTCATTTAAATACTTAAAATATTCTTTAATTAATATAACAGGTCAATTTTTTTAGAACTTAAATGAAAAAGATTGAATAGTTTAGGTACATATTTCAACATAAAATACTTATTTTGAAAAAATAACTTTAGGTATTTATTTTGATCAAATCATTCTTTACTTAAATTAAAAAGATAATACACTTTAGATACTTATTTATGATATAAATCAAAACAAATTACTAATACAAAATATAAAAAATATCTAAATTACACAAGAATTTAAAAAAATTTAACTGCTCCGTCGATCCATCCTGTGTGCAGACAAAAACCCAGCATGCAAAAGATCCAAAATCCAAAATCTTCAATAAACTAAAAAGCAAAACACAATATTCAATCCAAAAATACATATCACTAAGAAAACCCAAGAGAAAGAAGAAGGAGAATACATTCAAAAGAGGAATCCATGGCGATAATAGCTGACCAACACGAGAGCACTAAAACCCAGATTATGTATCACTCGAAAAACCCAAATAGAAAAGGGGGAAAATACCTTCAAAAGATGAATCCATGGCAATAGGACTAAACCCACATTACCATCAAAACCCCAACTTTTTGAAGCCTGGAGAAAACGAAAAAGAAAAGAGAAAAACTCTTAATTAAAGAAAATCACTATAATTAAAACAAAAATTAGTAGTGAAACAATGATTTTCTACCAAGAAAAGAGGGTTGAAATTGAGCAGCCAGAGGGAGAGAATCCATGAAAGGAAGACTTTGGGGTTGGTTGAGTGATTAAAGATCCTCTTTTTATCAGTTCCTTTCTGCTTATTAATAATATTTCTGCAAAATTGAGAGCAATAATAAAATGAAACAGATAATATATATATTTTAGAGTAATAAATAATGGGTCTAATCTTTTCGTTGTGGGTTTTATATTTTAGTGTTTTTTTTTACCCTCTTTGTTTATGGGGAGATTCGAGGATCGAGTGGAAGACATTATTTTCATGGCAAAAGAAAAAAAAATAAAATAAGCCCTTAATATTTATTAAAATGATCATTTTGATATTTATTTTTTTTTAGTATTTTAAGCTTAATGTTTTATTTTAGGTTAAAAGGGATTTTAATATTTGATTAGATAGTCACTTTAATTATTATTCCTTTTTAGCGTTTTAGTCCTCAATATTTTAGCGTTTTAACTCTCAATCAATTGTTAACTAACAATTTTCATTCATACAAAAAATTTTTTTTACCAAAAATTAATGTTAAAACAAAAACAACTTTGAAAAATTATGACAAAAATTATAATTTTAATAAATATTTGAGACTAAAATTAACATTATACCAAGGAAAAAATAGTTTGTTACAAAGTCCAACCAACTTTTAAAAATTAATTAAATCTCTAAAATTTTCAAGTTTAATTTAATCTTTAACATAATTATATTTTTTTATATTTTAACTTTCAACGTTTTATTTTAAAGTAAAAATCTGGATTGAATAGACACTTTAACCTTTATTCTTTATCTTCAGAATATTTTAGTCATAAATATTTCATTTTAAGGTAAACAAATCTATATTTTAAAAAGTTAACCTTTGTTAATTAACTATTTTCATAAATAGATGGACCTTTTCTCCATAAATAAAATATTAGTAATTAAAATATTTTAAAAAAGAATAAAGATCAAAATAATTATTTTAACAAATATTTTGAAAGTTAATTTTAACGCTATACTTATCAAATTTTATTATAACCCGACTTACACATAATATTCATGCATATAAACACCTTCAATGTCACACCCTAATTTAGGGGCTAAGTTTTAGAAATTATAAAGTATTGAATTAAAATAATATTTTGGAAGAAATTGAGGATTAAAGTGTAAAATCGCAAAGTTGACAGACCATTTTTGGAAGTTACATGAAATTCAGGGACCCAATCCTGAATTTACTCATTTTTCTTATATGTTGAAAAATAAATTCCACTCCCCTATACTTTCCCAGAATGTTTTCCCCAATTTCTTCTCCCCGTCAACCCCTTTTGTAACTCCGATTTCTTCACAGTTCGATGATCCGAAACCACCAATAGACTCACCATTGAACGGAGAACAAAGCCCGACCTTTATTCCATCATGAATCGACGTCGTTCGTTGTAAAACTCAACCGGAAGATTCGTCAGTTTTAACTCGATCGTCGTTGGTTTTTCGCCGATTCCGGTAGATCTGGCACTCATTCATCACACCTTCTACACCATCAGACTCACCGTCACCGTACGCTCAAAATTTGACCAAAAATCATCACGTCGTTGTTCCTCCGTCGTCCTCACTCGCCGATCACCGTCGGATAAGTTTGTACGTTTTAAAATTCTATAATCCGTTATGTTTTGATGAAAAATAATACTTTCACGAGACTCTCGAGGTGTCGATCTACAAATCTGTAAAATTTCATGCTAAACCCACGACCAGAGCCACCGCACACGCCGTCCCCTGCGCATGGGCGTTGTCTGTCATCCAAGGGAGCCATTTGAGCCGACTGAGCAGTATGATCGACCCGACCGAGCCGTGTGATCGAGCCGATTAAGCCGTGTGACCGAGCGAATTAAGTCGATTGAGCAATTTGACCGAGTCGACCGAGCCACTCGATCGAGCCGACGGAGCAGACCGAGCCGTCTGACTGAGCCAACCGAGCTGACTGAACCGAGTTAACCGAGCTGACTCACATTGAATGTTGACCGGCGTTGGTTGACCGTCATTAACCGGCCGTTGACTTTTCCGGGTACACCTATCCTAACATTTTTTGACGTTCTAAGTCCGTTTTTAGGTCTGTTTTGCCAAATTCGAACCCGATAACCTGTTTTTCACTGATTAACCACCCGATTCGATCCGTTTTTTGCAGTTAAGCTCCGTTTCTGATGAAATTTTTGTTGTTATGTATCTGAGGAATTATTGGACATTGATTTCAAGATCGAGGGCGTTCGAGTGGAGTTTAAATGGTCGATCGATATGGTACAGAAATCGAGGTAATACATTACTACCTTTTCATGCTTTATGGAACATGTTGCTATTGGTAAATGCATGAATAAGATAATGTTTGGTCTCATCTGTGTAGTTAATTAATTTTTACACTCGATCTGAATACGGTAAAAATTCTGTAACTGAATATGGCTCAGATGACTAATATAAGAAATTGGAGGACAGTTGGAATTAAATTACAAGTTCTGTAATTAAGTGATAAATGAATCATCCCTGGATATGTAAATTATAATTTATATCATTAAAGGTTAAATGTCAAATGTACTTAGATGAGAAAATATGAGAATACTTCGATTAGGTAAAATGACTAAAAGACCCTGTAACATCCCAAAATACGGGTTATTGATTAAATTGTAAAATTTTAGAATTTGATGATTAAAGTAAAATGGTTGAATAGTTCAGTGATTTATTAGGAAATATTTCCTGAAAGTTGTTAGTAATTATTAAATGAAGGGAAGGGCAAAATGGTTATTTGACTTAGAAATTAATTAAAAATGGGAATGATAAGGATATAAGGATAAGATGAAGGAGATATTTTCTCCAAAACTTCTTCTTCTCCAGCGTGAAGAACCTCAAGCAAAGGTAAGATTTCTTTGTTGTTGATTATTAGCTGAAATTTAAGTTGGGTTATGATAATTAGATGATAATCAAGCTTAAGGAAAGCTTAATTTGTTATAAAACAACAAGATGAAAGGTATAAGAGAGATTAAAGATTTTGAGTTCTTGAATGAAATCTTGGAATAGAGCTCATAATAAGAATTGAAAGTTGAATTTGACTTGTCATCAACTTAATTAAGAGATTTATGAAGTTAGAAATGATTTATAACAAAGTTGAAAGTTTAGTAAGATTCTTAAATTTTAAGAATCATGATGAGATATGGAATATAAAGATGGTTTATATGGATATAAGTTGGTTTATGTAAAGGTATTTGAGTTTAATGGCATGATAGGAACTTAAAATGGAATATTTGGATGAGTATTGGTGAATTTTTGGGTTTAAACAGTAAATTCTGGGTTTTAACAGATTATGCAGGGGGTATCGATACCCTATGGGGGGTACTGATACTACCCTAAGAGAAAATAGAAATTTAGCTTTTCTTTGTTCTAAGATATTAAGGATCGAATCATGATATTTGGAATACTAATTTGGATACTATATGTATGATTATATAGATATCAAGCATAAGCAAATTCAAGAACGACTGCAAAGTTAGGAT